ACCCACAACCACTATTACAACCCACAACCACTATTACATCATACCCAGGTGTTCGTCTTGACATTTTAATTCCACACACGTATTGGTGTCAACGTTTCCTGAATTTGGGTCAAGTCAATTTGTTTGCCAAATTTATAGTCGTCTCAAGTGAATGCTTCTTCAGTGTTTCGGTTTTAAATGCGTCTCAGTGATGTGATGTTTTTTTTGCAAGTTATGTTTTGGGGGGGAAAAAAGGGTTGAATCCAGCCTTGCATTGTTTTTTTAACATTCTTTTGACTGTTGTTTTTGGGGTTGCATACGTACGACTAACCTAAGGGAATGTGCCCACCACCTTTTTCCCCTCGTCTGAAAAAGTTATTTTGTTCTCTGACCTTGGGGTTTTAAATTTTTCATGTAAATTCTTTTTTCTGCTCCATCTTCGTCTACTTTATCTTTTGGGTTTTGCTATTTAAGCAAACCAAAATTTTCCGATTTCTACAATTTTTTTTTAAGGATCTTTTTACTTTTTTTTTCTATCCGCCAAAAATTGCTACTGCTTGCCCGCTTACATTTTGATTCTTCGAGAATACCCTTTTTAATTTTCATGTCATGCCTCTCGTTCATCTCTGGGGATGATTTGTCCCCCACTTTTTCCCTTTTTTCCAATAGAAGACTGTTTTCTCTTTGGATCTGCCCTTACATACATACATATATATTATTATAATATATATATATATTATATATATAATTTTTAAAATATATATAATATATTTATATATAATGTCGGCCCCAAATGTAAAATGGGGCAAATTTGCAAGAACTCATTTTAAAAAATTAAATCCTTTCTAAAATTTTTTCCTTTTACGTTTAAAAAATATATTTTTTTCATTAAAAATTGTGTAAAATTTATAATTTTTTCACCAAAAAGGGAAATTAGAAAATTAAACTAACCCCTTACTATAACAAGCAAAATTTTTTTAGCCCCAACCCCAAATAAATTATTTTGTTGTTTACAATAAATTTAAAACTAAACAAAACAGTGAAATTATTTTTCTGTTAGGGTTTAGAATATTTTTGGGGAAATTTTGCATAAACCAAAATTTTTACTTGTCCTAAAAGGGAAGTTGAGCGTGCTTTTAAACCAAGATCGCAAGTTCTGCCTATTCGACGAATTATATAATTTTATATATATAATATATATATATATATATATATAATATATATATATATAATATAATATAATTTTTTATAAAAAATAATATATATATTATAATATAAATATAAATAATAATATAATAAATATAAGAACATAAGAACTAAGCAAAGAACATAAAACAAGGAACACTGGGGGAAGGCCCACTGGCCCCTGCGAGGCAGGTCCAATCCCACCGGGTTAAACCCAAAGCACCCAACCTAGTCAGGTCAGGTCACATTGACTTAAGGAGGAACCGGGAACCGACCTGTTACACAAACTTCGGGCCAACTCACACCCACCCACATCTACTCATGTATTTATCCAACCTATTTTTAAAGCTACACAACGTTCTGGCCTCTATAACGGTACTTGGGAGTTTGTTCCACTCATCCACAACTCTATTACCAAACCAGTACTTTCCTATATCCCTCCTGAATCTGAATTTTTCCAACTTAAAACCATTGCTGCGAGTCCTGTCTAGGCTAGATATTTTCAGCACACTATTTACATCCCCTTTATTTATTCCTGTCTTCCACTTATAAACCTCAATCATATCCCCCCTAATTCTACATATATATATATATATATATATATATATGTCGTGCCGAATAGGCAGAACTTGCGATCTTGGCTTAAATAGCAACGCTCATCTTGCCATATAGGACAAGTGAAAATTTGTGTATGCAATAATTTCGCCAAAATCATTATGAACCTAACGAAAAAAATATATTTGATTGTGTTTATATAGTATTAAATTATTGTAAACGTATTTAAAATGTATTTAGTTGGGTTAGGCTAAAATAAATTGCTCTTGTTATAATAAGGTTAGGTAAGTTTTCTAAGATTCTTTTGGTGCAAAATTAAAAATTTTTACATTAACATTAATGAAAAAAATATATCTTTAAACGTATAAGAGAAAATTTCAGAAAGGACTTAATTTTAAATGAGTTCTTGCTAATTGACCAGTTTTACATATTCGGCACGACATATATATATATTTTATATATATATATATATATATATATATATATATATATTATATATATGCAAAACAACCACTCTGAAAGAATAGAGGAATTCCAAGCGCTTTCGTGACTACTCACATTATCAAGGAACTATGAAAGTAAAGCATCCAAGGAAGCTATATAAGGGGTCTGGCCAACACTTCACTATCAGATCCCACAACGGTTAAACACCTGACGCGCGCCGACCCAACTGGATAGGTCCTTTGCACAAATCACCCACAAACTATTCTACCCAAGAAAATTTAAAAATTATTATTTGTCCAGTGTATTATTAAATTCTTCCCAAATTCTATTAATTATAAATGGATCTAATTTATATAAACCAAAGGAAATATTCATAATATTGTCAAAACTGCTTTTTATGAAACAAGATTCAATTATATTCCTGTCGGCCATGGACTTGCTTGATACTACTTTCTCAACTTTTTGGAAATCAATTGGAAAATCAATTATTCATGTAAGAGATTTTAACCATCCAATTGATTTTCAAAAAGTTGAGAAAGTAGTATCAAGCAAGTCCATGGCCGACAGGAATATAATTGAATCTTGTTTCATAAAAAGAAGTTTTGACAATATTATGAATATTTCCTTTGGTTTATATAAATTAGATCCATTTATAATCAATAGAATTTAGGAAGAATTTAATAATACACTGGACAAATAATAATTTTTAAATTTTCTTGGGTAGAATAGTTTGTGGGTGATTTGTGCAAAGGACCTATCCAGTTGGGTCGGCGCGCTTTCAGGTGTTTAAACCGTTGTGGGATCTGATAGTGAGGTGCGGGCCAGACCCCTTATATAGCTTCCTTGGATGCTTTACTTTCATAGTTCCTTGATAATGTGAGTAGTCACGAAAGCGCTTGGAATTTCTCTATTCTTTCAGAGTGGTTGTTTTGCATATTCTGAAATCACCTGTTTACTGTGATCTTATTGCATATAATATATATATATATATATATATATATATTATATATATATATATATTATATATATATTATATTATATATATATATATATATTATCGTGCCGAATAGGCAGAACTTGCGATCTTGGCTTAAATAGCAAACGCTCAATCTTGCCAAAATAGGACAAGAGAAAATTTCTGTATGCAATAATTTCGCCAAAATCAATCTAAACCTAACGAAAAAAATATATTTCACTGTGTTTGTTTAGTATTAAATTATTGTAAATAAATTTAAAATATATTTAGTTGGGTTAGGCTAAAATAAATTGTTCTTGTTATAATAAGGTTAGGTAAGTTTTCTAAGATTCTTTTGGTGCAAAAGTAAATTTTTTTACATTAACATTAATGAAAAAAATATATCTTTAAACGTATAAGAGAAAATTTTAGAAAGGACTTAATTTTAAATGAGTTCTTGCTAATTGACCAGTTTTACATATTCGGCACGATATATATATATATATATTATATATATATATATATATATATATATATATATATATATATATATATATATATATATAAAATATTATATATATATATAAACACACCTCTTTACGTGATTTTATTACTTTGCTTGCTGCTTCATAAATAAACCCCTCTTACCCAGATGGTTCCTTGTCCCTGGGGTACTGCTGCGCCTATTGAATCCTCTTAGCTCATCTCACATTCTACTAAGCCTTACACTGTGCTAGCTCCTTCTGACGTCCCTTTCGGTCATCTGGGTGTTATCTTACATCGGTGAGCTTTTGTTTTGGCTCCTCTCATGTACAACGGTCTGTTGTTTATCCAAATAAAACTCATATGTGTAAGGAGTACTGGGTACTGATGCAACGACCTCGGTGTTTTTTTTTTTTTTTTTTTTTTTTTTTTGATGTGTCGAGGTTCATCTGGAGCCTCATTTCTCCCTGCTCCTTATTTCAGTGTTAGTCAGTTCACTGTTTTTGGCCTTTCTCTTTCTAGCATTTGACGCAGCTTGGTTGTGAAATCTTTCGTTGAACTCTGCATACTAATAACTTCCTGTGAATAGGAACCCATCTTTCTGCATGTTTATCTACTGATTCTCCGGTTTTTTTTTCTTCTGATTAGCCTGTTGAAAAAAAATAACCCATTATTTTTAGTGATTTTCTGACTTAGTTTGCCAATTCATTATTTTCTTATAAGGAAACCTTTCATGACTTCATGATGTCTTCTACATGTTGTGCTGGTCGCTTTTTATTTTTTCATTTTTCCATCCCACTTTTGTTAAGTAGTTGAATGTCAATACGGTGTGATTGATTGCTTGTAGGACTCTGTAATCCATTACTTCAATATAATTTAGAGAACGTTATGATTATGCTGGCATATCGCCCCCGTCTCGTGAGGTGTAGAAGTTGCCTATATCTAAGGGAATGAGTTACATGTTTAACGCAGTATATATGTGGGAAAATGTGCTAAGAGAAGATGATGTTTAGTATAAATGAGACGCGGTGTATTTTTAGTGTAAATGAGATGCGGTGTATTTTAAGGTTATAAAGAGGAAGCGAGTCGATCTTTAGGATAGTCGATCTTTATTGAAGAAGTAGTTTTTGTTTTTAAGGGACTAAAATGTTAAATAATTATAAAGTAACATTGCCTTAAAGATCTGATGGTATTTAGGCCCTTTAGAGTGAAGAGCTTCTGTTCCAAGGTATTGCTAGCCCGATTATCTCATATTCCCAGAGCGCTGGATAACTGTGCGGGTGATGAATAATTATATTTTTTTGAGGTAATTATATAGCATATAATATATTTTTTGTGAATGTTATCACCCATAAATGTGTCTGTAAATTATTGTAAATATTTGTTTATCCTGTTTCAGGCGTCCATCATGCGACTGGCAGTGTCTTTATTCCTCCTGGTGCAGGTACGATAACTTTTCACGATGTTGTAAGGGAAAAACCTTGAGTTTTATTAACTATCGTCGTTGTTTACTCTTGTGATTCTGCTTATTCCCATTCTCTTTCTCCTTCCCTTTTTTCTGTCTTGCCTGTTTGATCATTCTCATCTTTCTCCATTTTATTTTTTCGATGTTTACATCATATTTTCATCTTATTTAATACTCAGATGCTTTTCGCACCTCATATTCCTTCTTTTTTTTTCTCCCTCCTCATCATCACTCTTTCTCATCCTCATTATTGTATTGAAGTAATATATTAATCTTGGCATCATGATGTATTGTTTAAGTCACATAATAAAAAGAGACAGTATAATACATTCATTGTATCAATTTAACAAGGCATCCCTAGAAGGTGGGATACCTCATGAGGTTAACAGAGGAATAACTTCCCTCTCTCCCTCCCCTCTACCCCCTTCTCTCCCTTCTCTCCCCTTCTACCCTCCGTCCCTTTCCTTTCCTCTCACCCTTCTTTCCTTCCTCCTTTCTTTGTGGCCTCGCTCCACATACATCAAGAAGGATATACTCATCAGAATATATTCAAACTTTTTCATAACTTTCATCATGAATATGATACATGGTATACAGTACCGACGAGTTGATAAGCAAGACACATGTGCAACAGTTAGGTATCTTTATTCCGAAACGTTTCGCCTACACAGTAGGTTTCTTCAGTCGAGTACAGAGGAGGCAGCAGAAGCAGTAGAGATGTAAAGACGATGTCATCTGTCCATCATCCTTAATTACATTCTTACTTTTGCTAGTTGGCTCCGTCTCTTCTGTCGTCAAGATTATCACCGCCTCATCTTTGACAGTATATAAGTCTCCATAGTGTTACTTCAGCTTCACTTTGTAACTTTGACAAGTTTATGTGTGGCGTCAGAGCTGCTGGTTTAATGTCAATAAATATTGACTTTCATGTTGCAGCAGCTGATAAGAGATATATTTTATGCTGCATGTCTGGAGAAGAGAGAGAGAGATGGGGAGCGGGAACTGTTAAAATTTATAAACCCTTATCCATAAACAGAAAAAGTGGCGTCAAATTCTTTTTTCGAATTAAAAAAATTACAATATTTACGGCAGTTAAGGCGATAATTCCTTGCTTTCCTTCCATCTGTGCCCAAGTCATTATGGCTAGGCCTATAGAAACGCCCCGCGGCTTATTTGTAAACCATGTTTTTGTCCCTGGGCGCCCCACCTGGCTGTAGCTTGGCTAGTCCTGTTTCATCACAACTTTGTCTTTTAACATCGTAGATATTTCTTTAATCTATCCACTACCCTTATATATTGTAATCTATACTTTCATGTTTCTGAATAGTTCTTATTGCTGTATTATAATTCCGGTATTGATTCCCTGAACCATTAACCGATTGACTACATCACAATATCTGAAACTCTTAGCGAAGATTCTTTCGTGTTCTGTCGCCTGGTTTGTCTCTGCTCCGTCAGATTACCTTTCAGCTCAACATGTTAAACACTGACAGCGGCTACGTACGTACACGCAAACTCATCGTTCAGTCTTACTCTATCAGAATAATTTATTGCTGTCTTTATGTACTACAAAAGTTGCATAGATCACTATCTCTCCTGGTATTGAAATTTCCTGTCTACCAGACTCTCTCTCTCTCCCCATTCTTTAACGATTTGTCTCTTTCAATAGGAAATGTAACTTCGTATTCGCCAAGGAAACAGGACTTGTATTATTTATAATATTTAACCAATAATTCTGACATTTGTCCAAAACTATTATAGAAATACTCATCTAGCGCATACAGACATTATATTGTTATAGAGATCTATCAGACGTTATTGAACTCTGTCTAGTCAGAACTGCGTTCCTCCATTTATTATTTAAAATCCTGAATCAGGTTTCAGATTTTTTTATTATATAAAATTATCTTTTCTTTCTACTATTCTGTATTCTTCTTTTCTTTTGGAAATAGTAAGAAAAAAATCCAACAGCCCTTAAAACTGACCTCACTTGACAGTGGTCAAGGAGGGAATGAAATGTCGACACAACATAATTATAATAATGAAATGACATTTAAGAGGCGGTAATTCTTGGGCCTAATGTTTTTTTTTTTTAAATTTAGTATTTAAGTTTGATTCCTCTCTCTTTTTTATTTTCCTATATTTGTCTTTAACTTAGTTCATGTCAGATTCTGTGGAAGCACTTGACTTGTACTCACTGGAGCGCAGGCGAGAGAGATGCAACATAATCTACACCTAGAAAATCCTAGAGGGACTGGTCCTAATCAGTACATAGAAATCAATCCCTACGAAAGCAAAAGACTTGGGAGACGATGAAACATAAGCCCAATGAAAAGTACGGGCACCATTAGTACACTGAGAGAAAACACCATAAGTGTTCGGGGCCCAAGACTGTTCAACAGCCTCCCACTAGTCATAAGGGGAATTACCAATAGACCCCTGGTTGTCTTCAAGAGGGAGCTGGACAGATACCTAAAGTCAGTGCCGGATCAACCGGGCTGTGGTTCGTACTTTGGACTACGTGCAGCCTGCAGTAACAACCTAGTTGATCAGGCCCCTGATCCACCGGGAGGCCTGGTTGTGGACCGGGCCGTGGGGGCGTTGATCCCTGGAATACCCTCCAGGTAGCAGGTAGTTTACTTCTTTCCTACAGTGCAGGAGAAGTGGTGTATCATCGTTAATATGAGTTAATTTATGGAGTGAACGTGTGTTACAAAAACGCGATTTCTAATAAGCATAGAGATCTCCAGTGAATACTAGAAAGGACTGCCCTTCTACCATCCAGCCTGTTACTGGGTTTTCGTAACAAGTAGTCAGTATCCTGGTCCAATTATCCATTAGAATTCAATAAGAATTATTAGTGCTTCAGGATTACAACTGGTAGGTTACTAACTAGAGAAATTAAAATTGAATAAGTTTATTAAAAAAGTCTAGAGGTATAAGATCAAAGTAAATTAAATTAATCAATTGAATATAATATAGGATACAAGTTCCTACACTTCTCTCGTGTACAGTAGTATTGTGCTGAAGGCACATATCACATTTATACGTCTTAAGTACCGTCTGGTACATTAACATTTAATAAGATATTACAAATATGTACAAGTAAGTTTGTATGCATGTGTGTAAGTGCTCTAAGTAGTTCGCTGTCTCACGACTCGACTAGACTTGAACCAGTGACTGACAAAGTCCTCACATCAACTAACTTCTTGACCAACCTGGCAATCAGAACAGCTTGCTTGAACAATAAAACGACTGATAAGTCAAACAACAATATAACAAGCAAAAGTGACACAGAATCAGGAACAAGGAGATAATATAACGACACTAAGTAGGGACCATCTGCAGATCCTCCACAAAAGTCACAAAACTCCCATACTACTGAATCTGAGTTCAGCATAAGAAAATCCCCGACTGTGACAGTACACAGATACCAGTACAAATTAGGTCAGAAGCTACAGCTCAGGACCTGAGTTGCTCAGAGTGTCTATGTGACACACAACCTCAGTACAACGTGGAAAATCACTAAGTCTAGACAATGTTCTGTGAACAGAGTTCTACAGAACCAACAACAAGAAAGCGACAGAGATGATCTTCCAACAAGGGCCAATAAGGGAGAGTTAGGTGCGTCTTGTCAGGAATACGTCCAACCACCAAGAGAGTCTAGCCCAGTCTGACTACTCCAGGCGAGGCATGAACCCCCCCCCCCCTCTATCACGTGATAGCTCCGTGGACAGTTGCTGCCCAGCAATATATATATGTTACATCCTACCTAATAAAAGTAACCAAGTCAAATAATAATATAAAGCAATATACGATTTAGCTATTATCGCAAATATAAGCAATATAAAATTATATGAAAAGGTAATATACATTATATACATTGTGACCCATTCAGGGGTCGCAACAACGTGTATGCCATAATGATAAGCATTATTAAATTAAACACACACACACACACACACACTATAGACAAGTGTCACTGACGTGTATAGTATGCAAAGTCATGGAGAGGATTATCAGGAGGTGAGTGGTGAAACACCTGGAACGGAACCAGATTATAAACAACAACCAGCACGGATTCATGGAAGGCAAATCCTGTGTCACAAACTTACTGGAGTTTTATGACAAGGTAACAGAAGTAAGACACGAGAGAGAGGGGTGGGTTGATTGCATTTTCTTGGACTGCAAGGCCATCGACACAGTTCCTCACAAGAGATTAGTGCAGAAGCTAGAGGATCAGGCACGTATAACAGGAAGGGAATTGCAATGGATCAGAGAATATCTGATAGGGAGGCAACAACGAGTCGTGGAACGTGATGAGATATCACGGTGGGCACCTGTGACGAGCAAGGTCCCACAGGGGTCAGTCCTAGGACCAGTGCCATTTTTGGTATATGTGAATGATATGATGGAAGGCATAAACTCAGAAGTGTCCCTGTTCGCAGATGATGTGAAGTTAATGAGGAGAATTAAATCAGATGAGGATCAGACAGGACTACAAAGAGATCTGGACAGGTTGGACGCGTGGTTCAGCAACTGGTTCCTCGAATTTATCCCCGCCAAATGCAAAGTCATGAAGATCAGGGAAGGGCAAAGAATCCGCAGAGTATAGGCTAGGCGGCCAAAGACTGTAAACCTCATTCAAGGAGAAAGATCTTGTGGTGAGTATAACACCGAGCACCTCTCCGGAAGCACACAACCAGATAACTGCTGCAGCATATGGGCGCGTGGCAAACCTGAGAATAGCTTTCCGATATCTCAGTAAGGAATCGTTCAAGACTGTACGCCGTGTACGTTAGGCCCATGCAGCACCAGTTTGGAATCCACACCTGGTCAAGCACGTCAAGAAATTAGAGAAAGTGCAAAGGTTTGCAACAAGGCTAGTTCCAGAGCTAAGGGGAATGTCCTACGAAGAAAGATTAAGGGAAATCGGCCTGACGACACTGGAGGACAGGAGGGTTAGGGAAGGCATGATAACAACATACAAAATACTGCGAGGTGGACAGAGACAGGATGCTTCAGAGAGGGGACACAGACGCAAGGGGTCACAATTGGAAGTTGAAGACTCGGATTAGTCAAAGGGATGTTAGGAAGTATTTCTTCAGTCATAGAGTTGTCAGAAAGAGGAATAGTCTGGCAAGTGATGTAGTAGAAGCAGGAACCATGCATAGTTTTAAGACGAAGTATGATAAAGCTCATGGAACAAGGAGGGAGAGAGAGAGGACCTAGTAGCGACCTGTGAAGAGACGGGGCCAGGAGCTGAGTCTCGACCCCTGCAACCACAATTAGGTGAATTAGGCGAGTACACACACACACACTAATAAAAATAACAATAAAAACTTGCTGGCAGTGTTTTGTGCTTGCAGAAAGAAGCTTTCGCTGGGGACCCCTCAAGGGAGGCTCCTTGTCGCTGGTGAGGGGCTCTTGATCTAGAGAATTGGATCTGTGCTCTGTTACCATGAATTGAGCCTGAATACCTTCTATCCCCCCAACATGCGCTGTGTAATCCTACGGGTTTAGCGCTCCCCCGTGATTATAATAATTTCGCAGGGGGATAACAAACCTTGTGGAGGGGTATAATATTGCCAGAGTGAAGCTCAGCAAGTTTGGACTCCAAATACATTACAACAAAAAATAACCTAGTGACAAAAATATTAAGCAGCAGTTGTGTGTAACGTTGCGTCCTGGTGTATATAAGAACACTGAACCAAGTCTACGAAAGGAAATTTTGACGAAAATATGGGAAGGACAACATAAGGTCTGCCAAGGAAACTAGCAAGTGTTTAATACCTTGACCTGAATGTGGAATGAGCTACGCAGAAGCAGATTCTATATATTTTATGTTTAAAAAAAAAAGATTGCAATATGAAAGATATCTGAGTGAAGTGTCAAGGCTGAAGCTGAGTCTGTGGAAAAAACAGCAAAGCAGTAATGTATATTTTAAAATTGTTAGAAAAAATAAAAGAAACTTGGAAAAGCGAGTACAGATGGACAGAAATATATGGTTGTAAGTGCAATTAACCAGGAGTTTATCAGTTAGGAGAGTTTATCAGTTAGGAGAGTTTATCAGTTAGGAGATAGCTATTTAAATAAGGTGACAAAAAGTTCTGAAATTTAAATAAAGTACAAGTGGTAACAGATTATATATATATACAGATTATATATATATACATTAATTTATTTATTTTTCTTTCTTTCTTTCTTTCTTTCTTTCTTTCTTTCTTTCTTTCTTTCTTTCTTCTTCTTCTTCTTCTTCTTCTTCTTCTTCTTCTTCTTCTTCTTCTTCTTCTTCTTCTTCTTCTTCTTCTTCTTCTTCTTCTTCTTCTTCTTCTTCTTATTATTATTATTATTATTATTATTATTATTATTGTTATTGTTATTATTATTATTATTGTTGTTGTTGTTGTTGTTGTTGTTGTTGTAAAAAAAGCTCTTAAACCCGTATGGGTTATTCATCGCTGCTGTACAAATTGATAATTTTGTTTGTGACGATAAATTTGTATCAAGGATAGGCATGCTGCAGAGAACCATTAATGCCGTTAATTTGTGTTATCACTAAGAATATAAAGGATTAACCTTTATTAGCATTTAATAAGTTAGAACCGGATTGCTCACAAAAAAATATTGATTTAAATTTGATAGAACACGTAGCAAAAGGTGCGTATATCTGTGTATGTACACTGAGAGGTGCATCATTCCCTGTGTGTAAACCCTGTCCGCACATCCATGGCTATCAGCTTTTTGTGCCTCTCACTACCATGACTGGGCAGCAACATCAGTAACTGGCCAAGCAGGAAAGTAAGGAAGGTATCATCAGAAATACCATCCCGTGAATCTCAATAACATAAGCTTATCCTAAGAACCTGCATTTGTGATTAAGGCGATTCTTACACTAAATCAGTGAAAGTATACGAACTGGGGCTTTGACTTCCACAATGACGTTAACATTTAAAGAATAACAGCTTTGTGACCACATGATGTGCAATAAGGGTTGGTGTCTCTAGTTCCTCTTGAGAGGGAAAGTTCTTGCCAACTCTGGATATAAATTCGAGGAGACTTTCCTCTCGCTTTCTTTAGCTGCTCAGATTTCCTTGTAAGGTAGTCTTGCTGTTTAGTTTAATATAAGATATACCTAATTTTTTTTTATTTCGCAGTTGTCTGCTTTCAGGCGAAATAGTAATAATATCAGTGGAAATAACTGCAATAATCATAGATTATATAAGCAGTAAAGCTCAGTGGCGTTATGTGCGCGCACCAAGTTATGCGTCTTTCATTGTATATACGCAGAGAATTATCCTTCATTCCTATTTTAGGGATTAAAGTATTTCTGGGTAGCGGGGAACAAGTTACATACAGCCTTAATGACCCTCGTGTTGTCTATTGTCTTTAAACTTAGTTGACTACCAACCAGGGATAGCAGCTCACAACCAAAGGACCTGGGCAATCAATCAACAGTAATGATAATAATAATAATAATTTCTGCAACAACGTGATACAAGTGATACAGGTCTAGTTGACATCATTGACATACTGTATAGAAAGCCACTGCTTATGCAGAGCATTTCGGGTATCTTAGGTTAATCTTGTCCCCTAGGATGCAACCCATAACAGTGGGCTAACTATTTAACAGTATTTATATCCCACAGGTTCAGTGGTCAGTAAGTGAAAGCGTTGGCACTAAAGGAAGTGGGCGGGCATTGGCATCACCTGTCCCGGGCATGATGATGCCTCAGTTGGTTGCTCTAGACGTGAAATGTGCTCGCTCTGGCATGACCGTCCATATTGAGTTTGACCGTGTGTTCTCCGGTGTAATTTACTCCAAAGGTCATTTCTATGACCCTGCCTGCAACTATATCACAGTCAAGAACTCCGGTAGTCAGAAATATTCGTAAGTATCGTGGAAGATGGTGTTAGTGTATTATTGATGAAGTGTGAATGAGTGATGGTGGGTGTCCCGCAAGCAACTATTGACCTCTAAGCAAACCTCATGTATCCTAAAGGTGGATATGTTTTCCTTCCTCGAGTCACGCTACGTGGTGAGAAACGGACCATGTGTAGAGAATGAAAAACAGAAGCTCTTGATCATATATATATGTATATATATATATATATAATATATATATATATATATATATATATATATATATATAATATATATATATATATATATAAACGTGTTAAAATTCTGAGACGCGCAATGAGTTTCCATGCATTTTATTAAGCTACTCTACGTCAATCATGAGCCGATATCAGAAGGAATAATTACTTACGGTTAAATGTTTGGTTGTTTATACGCATCTTTTCTTGTGTGTGTGTATGTATATATATATATATATATATATATATATATATATATATATATATATATATATATATATATATATGCAAAACAACCACTGTGAAAGAATAGAGAAGTTCCAAGCGCTTTCGTGACTACTCACATTATCAAGGAACAATGAAAGTATAGCATCAAAGGAAGGTATATAAAGGGGCAGCCCACACCTCAATATCAGATACCACAAACAATGAAACACCTGACGTGAGACAGCAGGCCCGCCGGCCGAACTAGACAGGTCCTTCATACAACCCACCAACAAACTATTCTACCCAAGAAATAAGAAATTTAAAAAAATATATTATTTGTCCAATGTATTATTAAATTCTTCCCAAATTCTATTAATTATAAATGGATCTAATTTATATAAATCAAAGGAAATATTCATATTATTGTCAAAACTGCTTTTTATGAAACAAGGTGCAATTATATTCCTGTCGAACATGGACTTGCTTGATACTACTTTCTCAACTTTTTGAAAATCAATTGGATGGTTAAAATCTCTTACATGAATAAATAGAGCATTGGAATCTTGTCCAGTTCTAATGCTATATTTATGTTGTTTTAATCTTAGTTCGAGATTTTTACCAGTTTGACCGTAATATGGATCCCAGGTTACAACCTATACAGATGTGATAGAGCGAACAGGCAAAAGGGGAAGGTTGGCCTGTACATTGCAGAGTCACTTGTTTGCACAGAACTGCTTAATGCCTCAAATGATGTAGTGGAAGTTTTAGCAGTAAAGGTCGAGAACCAAAACCTAGTCATTGTGGTAGTCTACAAGCCTCCGGATGCAACATCCCAGCAATTCCAGGAACAGCTGTTAAAAATTGACCACTGTCTGGAAAATCTTCCAGCTCCTGCACCCAACATCTTGCTCCTGGGGGATTTCAACTTAAGGCACCTAAAATGGAGGAATATAGCAAATAATATTGTTGCAGTAATAACACTAGGAGGCAGCTCTGATGAAAACTCACACTCACACGAGCTTTTAAATCTCTGCACAAAATTCAGTTTAAACCAGCAAATAATAGAGCCTACTAGACTGGAGAATACACTAGACCTCATCTTCACTAACAATGATGATCTGATAAGAAATGTCACCATATCAAAAACAATATACTCAGATCACAACATTATTGAGGTTCAGACATGTATGCGTGGAGCCCCAGACCGACATAATGAGATTAGTCACGAGGGAGCATTCACCAAATTCAACTTCAATAACAAAAACATAAAGTGGGACCAAGTAAACCAAGTCCTAACCGATATAAGCTGGGAAGATATACTAAGCAACACAGACCCCAACTTATGCCTAGAACAGATTAACTTGGTGGCACTCGATGTATGCACAAGGCTTATTCCTCTAAGAAAAAGGAGGAGTAGATGTAAAATAGAAAGAGACAGGCGCTCCCTTTACAGGCGACGGAAAAGAATAACAGAGCGGCTAAAAGAGGTCAGTATATCTGAAATGCGTAGGGAGACACTGGTCAGAGAAATAACAAGCATCGAACTTAAGCTAAAGGAATCTTATAGGAGTCAGGAATCGCGGGAAGAACTAAAAGCCATAAATGAAATCGAAAGAAACCCAAAGTATTTCTTCTCCTATGCCAAATCAAAGTCGAGAACAACGTCCAGTATTGGGCCCCTACTTAAACAAGATGGGTCCTACACAGATGACAGCAAGGAAATGAGTGAGCTACTCAAGTCCCAATATGACTCAGTTTTTAGCAAGCCGCTAACCAGACAGAGTCGAAGATCAAAATGAATTTTTTATGAGAGAGCCACAGAATTTGGTTAACACAAGCCTATCCGATGTTATCCTGACGCCAAATGACTTCGAACAGGCGATAAATGACATGCCCATGCACTCTGCCCCAGGGCCAGACTCATGGAACTCCGTGTTCATCAAGAACTGCAAGAAGCCCCTATCACGAGCCTTTACCATCCTATGGAGAGGGAGCATGGACACGGGGGTCGTCCCACAGTTACTAAAAACAACAGACATAGCCCCACTCCACAAAGGGGGCAGTAAAGCAACAGCAAAGAACTACAGACCGATAGCACTAACATCCCATATCATAAAAATCTTTGAAAGGGTCCTAAGAAGCAAGATCACCACCCATCTAGAAACCCATCAGTTACACAACCCAGGGCAACATGGGTTTAGAACAGGTCGCTCCTGTCTGTCTCAACTATTGGATCACTACGACAAGGTCCTAGATGCACTAGAAGACAAAAAGAATGCAGATGTAATATATACAGACTTTGCAAAAGCCTTCGACAAGTGTGACCATGGCGTAATAGCGCACAAAATGCGTGCTAAAGGAATAACAGGAAAAGTCGGTCGATGGATCTATAATTTCCTCACTAACAGAACACAGAGAGTAGTCAACGATGAGAAATTTCAATTACTCAGATATGGTAAACACGAGGAAATTAAATCTTCACCAGAGTACAAAACAAATTCTGGCCACAAAATAGAGTGAAACACCAACGTCAAAGACCTGGGAGTGATCATGTCGGAGGATCTCACCTTCAAGGACCATAACATTGTATCAATCGCATCTGCTAGAAAAATGACAGGATGGATAATGAGAACCTTCAGAACTAGGGAGGCCAAGCCCATGATGACACTCTTCAGGTCACTTGTTCTATCTAGGCTGGAATGTTGCTGCACACTAACAGCACCTTTCAAGGCAGGTGAAATTGCTGACCTAGAAAATGTACAGAGAACCTTCATGGCGCACATAACGGAGATAAAACACCTCAATTACTGGGAGCGCTTGAGGTTCCTAAACCTGTATTCCCTGGAACGCAGGCGGGAGAGATACATGATTATATACACCTGGAAAATCCTAGAGGGACTAGTACCGAACTTGCACACGAAAATCACTCACTACGAAAGCAAAAGACTTGGCAGACGATACAACATCCCCCCAATGAAAAGCAGGGGTGTCACTAGCACGTTAAGAGACCATACAATAAGTGTCAGGGGCCCGTGACTGTTCAACTGCCTCTCAGCATACATAAGGGGGATTACCAACAGACCCCTGGCAGTCTTCAAGCTGGCACTGGACAAGCACCTAAAGTCGGTTCCTGACCAGCCGGGCTGTGGCTCGTACGTTGGTTTGCGTGCAGCCAGCAGTAACAGCCTGGTTGATCAGGCTCTGATCCACCAGGAGGCCTGGTCACAGACCGGGCCGCGGGGGCGTTGACCCCCGGAACTCTCTCCAGGTAATAAACTTTATCGCAAATTTTACAAGGAATCTTATAGACACATCCATCAGCATTTTGGGGGGAATTCTTTATCAAAAGTTTTTTTACTGTATCAAGATTTTTGAATACAACTTTAATATTAAAAGTCTTAAGAAGAGAAAGCATATGAACCAAGTTTTCATGGTAAGGGAGAACCAACATATTTTTAGTTGAATAAGGCTGGTTGTCCCTTTTTGGATTGTAAAAAGTATTTCTAGCAACTTTAAAAGATTTATCAATTACATTTCTTGGGTATTTCAAATCATTACCTATTTCATAAATTTTGGATATTTCCTCATCTATAAACTCTGGACTACAAATTCGTAAAGCTCTCAAAAACACTGATGAGAAAACAGACAGTTTAACTCTGTCTTGATGGGAAGAATAATAGTGGACATAGGAACAGTTATTTGTAGGTTTTCTGTAAATTTTAAATTTGAATTCATTATTACCCTTAATAATTAAAACATCTAGAAAAGGCAATGAGTTATTTTCTTCAAATTCAACAGTAAAATTTATAGAATGGGCTAAGCTATTTAATTTGCCAAGGAAATGGTGTATATCTACATTTTTGGGCATAAGACACAAAATATCATCAACATATCTGAACCATTTAGCTATTAGGGAAGATTGTGTTAAGCAGCCTTGTTTCAAAAAATTCTTTATATAAGTTACTAAGAACAGGTGAAAGAGTATTTCCCATTGCCATACCAAACTTCTGAGTGTAAAACTTATCATTAAATACAAATTTTGCATCAACAATGCAAAGTTTAGTAAGTTTAATGATAGTAGGAACTGGCAATGGTAAATCATAATTAACGAGTTCTTCAGATAAGAAACTTAATAAATCATCAACAGGAACTTTCGTAAACAAGGAAGTAACATCAAAACTAACCATGTTAAAATCATTTAAGTCAGTCAAGGAGCTTAATTTATCAACTAAATCTATGTTGTTTTTAACATTAAAGTTAGAAATTTTGCCAACAATAGGGCTCAAAATATCAACAAGCCATTTGGATAATTTATATGAAACTGATCCTATGGAGCTAATAATTGGTCTGACTGGATTCCCTGGTTTGTGTGTTTTTATTAGTCCATACATGTAAGGTAAAGATGGATTAGTGGAAGTAAATTGCTTGACTAATTCATCTTTGCCTTTCAGTAGAAGTTTTATTGAAATTGCTGTTAACGGTTTCTAGGGGATTTTTTCTAAGTTTAGAATAGGTTTCAGTATCATCTAAGAGATTATTCATTTTTTCTTGGTAATCATTTTCTTTCATAATTACTATTGCATT